AACAACAGACTGTCATACAACAACAGACTGTCATACAACAACAGACTGTCATACAACAACAGACTGTCATACAACAACAGAGTGTCTTCAGTCAGAGGATTCTTCAAATCCGTTGTAGGACAGACGCTACAAGAGATCCTTCCTGCCCACAGCCTTCAGCATCTAGAACAACTCTTTCATGAAACCAGGATGATGAGTTACCACAACATTTAATTTACCTCTGGGATTAATAAAGTATTTTTGAATTGAATTGAATTGATTACCATTACAGTAGTCCCTTGTTTTTTTGTGGTTTGTTTTTCATGGACTCGCTGTATCGCAGCTTTTCAATGTAAGATTGGACATGACTCACAATTGGCTGATTGATGGGTGAGCCGAACGATCGGCATGGACTTTTTATTTAAAATAAATTATTTAGCACCTGTGTGCAGCCCACAGCTGGGAGAAGCTTCCTCCTGCAGCTGATCAGGTGATCTTCGCTCTACAGTAGAGAAGTGGAGCACTGGCAGATGACAGAGTGCAGCCGGAGGCAGGAAGGCATTCTGTGCGCTTTTAGAGCATTTAAAGTTTTGAAACATTGTTTAGAATATTGCAAGAGTGTGGGAAGGGTTTAAAATGTATATATATACTAAAATGAACTCCTACTTACTACTTGTACTACTATTTTTATTTAGCTGTTTTTCACTTATTGTGGGGCTTCAGGGTACGGATCCCCTGCGATTAACGAGGGACTACTGTAAATGTGTTGTTAGCAAGACAGATAAGCAGCTTTTTACTTGGTCTAAAGCCTGCTTTATACTTTACAAGACGTAAGATATCTGATCTTGCTGACATCGTTATGAGGTGGGTTTTTTTTTATGGGCATGCTATACTCAATGAGAAACTATGGGGGAGAACTTCTAGTAAGCCCTCCCACTGTACCACGTGTCCCGTGCAAAAAGAAACAACACAGTGACTGCACAGTTAGCAGAGAGGATGTTTCAGTTAATTATTGAGGAGGAAGAGCTGGTAAGTGTGTAGGTAAGTGAAGAGAAGCCCTGTTTTGTTAGTATGTCACAAAGAGATGGTCACGGTTTCTAATAGACAGTGCAGAAATGTGTCCCTACACTGTTCGGCTGAGGTGGACTCCCTCCCGGACAGCACAGACATGGAGAGCTACCTTTGATTACATGCCATCTCCTCTCTGCACAAAAACTGTGCTATCTCCTTTCATGAGTAATTTGACTATATGTTTATGTTGTGTTTGCTTTTGTTTATAATTTTAATTTGTCTATTTCTAAGTTTTGCAGGAACAGTTGTAAAGATGACTGCATTTTCTAATAGCCCTGTGCCATCTCTGTATAAACACTCTCTTTAACAATTTTGATCACACAATACTTGGCACATACCCTGCAAGACAATGCTTCTGACATGGCAAAGAACCCAAAACAAGAATAAGAACAAAATAACATTTTAATCACACCACCACATTGGCAAGAAACAATTTTTTGCACTTGAAGTTTAAATTAGCCTTTATCCCCAGCTCCTTCTGGTTCAGGGATTGAGAACCAAATACTTGTCCTTGTGGACTCATTGCCTGCTTCCAGTGTAGAATAATTGAAATGTATATTTTTGTGCAGGTTACAGGAGCTAACAGTGTGCTCAGAGGACAACGTTGATGTTCACGATATCGAGCTGATGCAGTACATCAATGTAGATTGTTCAAAACTGAAGAGGCTTTTGCAAGGTTAGCTCCTACTTTTTTTGCATGTTTACCTAAACACCAACTCTTTCAACCATTCATAGCTTTCTGCTAACGCACTATCTTGAAAAATTCCTATACCCCTTGAACTTTTTCACAATTTTTCAAATTTTGACTAAAGACTTCTAATAATGTCACTGAGATTTTTATGACAGACCAACACAAAGTGCATGAATTAAAAGTGGAAGGAAAATAATACATGGGTTTCAATATGTTTGACAAATATATGAAAAGTGAGGTGTGCGTTTGTATCCTGCCCTCAAAGTAAGTACTTTATAGATCCGCTTTTTCATGCAGTACCTGCCGCAAGATTTTTAGCAATTCTACCAGCTTTGCACATTGATAGACTGAAAATTTTGCCCATCTTTCTTAAAACTGTTGCAGCTCAATCATTTTGTATAGAGCATCTGTGAACCGCAATTTCAAGTCTAAAACTGAAGCATTCCTTTATAGCTCTGGCTGGATGTTTTGGGTCATACTCCTACTGAAAGGTCAACCTTCTCTTTCCCTCCGCAAAGTCTTTTACAGCCTCTTAACAGTATTGTCCTGAGTTTAGCTCTATCCATCTTCCCATCAACTTTGACCAGGTTTCCTGTTCCTGCTGAAGAAAAGCATCCCTGCAGCATGATCCTGTCACTACCATGTTTCACAGTTGGGTTGGTGTGTTTGGCATGTTGCACAGTGTAGTTTTCTTCCACACACAGGATTTTGTATTTAGGCCATAACGTTTAGTTTTTGTCTAGCGAGAAGAGCACCTTCTGGATTATTTCTGGATCACTACATGGCTTATATCAAATTGCAAAAAACACTTCTTCAGGTTTTCTTTCAACAAAGGCGTTCTTCTTGCCACTCCTTCAAATAAACCAGATTTATGGAGTGTACAACTATTATCCTTATGCATGCTCAATAATCCAGGTAGAAAAACTAATTTTAACTAATAAAACAACTAATAGTTGACCTGTAAACAATGTTCCCTCTAAGCTATGCATCTGTTCAATCACGCACTGCTCATACATTCTCTGCACACAAGAAAACCTATGCTTTGCAGTTGCGAACTGGCCACAAGGTTATCTCCCGTTTTATAATAAACTGTCAGCCCTGGCGCAGCTGTGTACAGTACAGCTCCTGGTGCGTGCAAAGTGGGGGATGGACAACCCCCCCCCCCCCGGTCAAAGCAGTGCTGTGTCACATGATGTGTATCTAGCCAATCAGCATCTTCTGGAGTCTCAACAGCACTAATTTCAAAGAAGCTACGTAGCTACAAGCAACTGTGACTTCTTGCGCGTTTCCAAGCTTTGTTACTGCATATTTCATGACATACTGAGGAATAATATTTGGCGTTGTGGATTTATCACAGCAGTTTACGGTCGTACGATGTCAAACAAAGGCGGTAAGTAAGTTAATCCCACGATTTGTAGCCGTTTTTGTCATGCTGTGTTAGCAAACAGTAGTGCTTGGTGTAGATCTGGATGGACAAAGAAAAAGTTTACAAACAGTGGTAAGACGTGTGGTCTGGAGACTTGACAAGACAGGAGAAAGAACTGGAAGTAGCAGAAATTAAGATTTTGAGGTTTTTCTTACAAGTGACAAGGATGGAAAAAATTAGGAATGAGATCATCATCAGAGGTACAGCAC